GAAATTAAAGATGTCACCTATTTGTCAAAAATGGCACAAATGATTTACAGTAAATGCCTTTTAAAGCCCATTGACAGAGTGGAAATTGAATAGAACAGAGTGAGTTGTTGAGTATGTGACCTCTTGAATCATGCATAGGTTCATTATGAAAGAAGGAAAAAAGAAATCCCTTTTCACCGAGGGTACTTTGCCTTAATGTGGATCTGTATGTGTGTGTTAATGAACAGCAGGTCAGTCAGTTTCATCTTAATCGGGTCTCAGCTGGGCGGATTGTAAATACAGTATCCCTCCCCTTTGGTTTTCCGTCTCTCTCCACTGCCAGACCCCCCTCCGGGCAGATCCCTAATTCGGGCCCACCTCTGTCATGTGTCAGAGCCCTCCAGCCCTGACACGCACCCCCTGCTGAGATGAAGGAAGAGAAGAAACAGGGGAGACAGAAAAGTCGGGGTGAAAGATTGAGGGTAGGGGAGGAGTAGACAGACCTACGGTGTGCCAGCTGGTGTCTTGCCCCAGAGTCGTGACTCATACTTCACCATCTGTCTCGCCGAGCATACACGCATACACAAACACACGTATACTCGCAGTGACACACAAAATCGAGGATGAAAGTCTTAGGTGTGGTTCATACATCCTAGATATGTGTTTTTGTGCACGCACTTTTGGGAGGGAGCTCACACATGAAGGTGTGACAGTGAGACGGATGACAGGCAGCTCATCACATGAAAACTTGCCGACTAAATTCAAAATATCTGACTGTCAGTCCCATCTCAGTCACAATCAACAGTTGCTGACATGCAAGAATGTTTTAGGTGCAAAACTGATTCTAACATATTTGCATTCGGTTTTAGGAGGCCATACTGCATTCTGGTGACACCCAATGTAACCCTGTTGTATATGCAATATTGGAAGTTGAAGTTGACATTGATCTGGAAGCTAATTTAAAGAATGTTCCTTGTTCATTTATTTGACTTGATTTAAAATAATTTGTTTCAAGTAAAAATGGAATGCATCAATAGTTTAGATGAGCATTACGATTGCACTAAAAGGACCAGTTATAAAATAATAAACGTTGATTATGGGATAAATCTTGTGCCAGCAGGAATTGAATTTGAATTGCTCAGATTGAATCTGTATGTTCATAATTTGAAATTGAATGTCACTTTCAAGGGATCCCCGATTAGTTGTAACATTAGACTTTATTTGATAAACATACAGTATATTTTAACTGTAAAATAAATACTGTAAAAATACTGTAGGCTGTTTAGTTTTGTAAATTTTTAAACTAAAAGTTTAAAAATATATTTCACGACAGGGCCATTTTATTTACACGCAAAGCATTCTGGGTAAATGATGACATGGAAAGGTCCTCAGTGTGAGGCTGCTAGCGAG